ACTATCTTCCCTGACTGCCCATCTCCCCTGGTTTTCATCAGTCTCTCCTATCAGACACTTTCTTAAAACCTTGATGCTCTTTTTTGGAACATATATAAACTTGTAATTATAAACTCTGGGCAATGACTGATTTAGGTCTGTCTCTCTGACTATAAACTCCAAGAAGGCAGTTTTTGTCTGTACTATTCTGACTGTATTTCCTGTGCCTGAGGCAGCATTTGATTTGTAGTAGATGTTCGATAAATATGTATTGCAGGGATTCCTCCCCCCCCCCCAAAAAAGCAAACAAACAGAAAAAAAAAAGGCACGCTTCCATATTTCCAGAGATTTAGAGGCAAAATAGAAGGTCTAGGTTCTATTTAAGGTAGAACAGCTTCAGTGTTGAGAATAGGCAACATCTCTTCACTGTCTTCAGTACCCAGTTTCCAAGACATTTACTCAACGAATGACTGGGTTTCCTCTTTTCCAATTTGGAGAAAAGAAGAAATACACTCACAGAGAACACTGAACACACACATCAAATAAAGAAATTCAACCCCAAGTCGCTCAGAGGCTTTGCCTTGCCCAACTCAGCCTTCAGATGAGCTAAGAGAAATGCTTGTCAAAAGCATGACAAAAGCAAAAGCATTCTTGTCAAAACTGGACACGAGGTTTCAACTTGTTCTTCTCCCACACTGATCACTCAGGAGGAGTAACATCTGTATGCTAATTACAGGCAGTGGCCAATGCCAGGCACAGAAACCTGTCTAAATCACTCCCTTTTGCGCTGAAGGGACACCGTCCAACAGTCCTAAGAGCTTGCAAACGATACTGTTAACTCAGGCGGGCACACTCCCGCCTCCCCAGCCCTTACCAGCCCCACCCTTCTCGAAAACCACTCCCCCCTCCCGCTTCTACTCCGATCTGAGCCAAACTAGCTGCCTGGTTTGGTAGTAAGATTGCACGAAGATTCAGAAGGCCCCGTGGGCTTCATTATTCCGCATGCCATAGAGAAGGGCCACCTCCAGGGACTGTTGCTGCAGAGCTGAGTCCCACTTGCTGCCAGGAAACCTCTCCCACTGAGGACACCCTGGGCAGGAGGTGCATCTCCAGGTCCAGGGGGAGGCACCCCACCCACTTGCCAGAGACAAAGATCACCAGAAACAAAGGACACACACACACACATACACACACACTCGAACACACAAAGTCAGAAGCAAATACCGACACTTGGTGCAATTTCAAGCCAAACACCAAGCTTGGTGTATCTTTAAATAGGTTTTAAAACAAAACCAGGAGGGACAATGATTATGTGATAATGACAGGCGCTATCCAGTTTTGGAACCCACGCTGCCTCCGCCCTCCCACCGGCACCGCAGTTCCCAGGCGCATTTTCCAGCCTCAGGACACACGCTGCCAGGAGCTTCCACTCATGGAGGCGCGCACACGCGGGAGATGGAGGCCGGGTGAGGGCGGTCAAAAGTAGGAAATACCAACCTTTAGGATCCCAGTTCACCTGTTTTCTTGGAGTCTCGATTGGAAATTTCATTGCTCCGTTGCCCAGAAGGGGAGGAAATGAAAAGAATCACAATAATAATAAAGTCCTCAAGCTTTACACGCCTCGGTACAGCAGTCCAACAAAACAATTTCCAAGGATGGGGGAGCCTTGGACTGGCTCGTGGAAGAACCCCAGAGAAAGGACAGTGGAAAATATTTGGCTTAGGAGAGAACTGGAGACTGCTTGGGTGTTTGCACCGGTTGAGGGGTGCGGAAAAAGGAAAAGTAAGACCGGCGAGGGCTGGATGCAGAGGGAGGCTCGGGAAGATGAAAGACCCAAGCAGCTTCCCAAACGCGGTGCTGGCAGGTTGGGGACTGAGGAGCCGGAGGGACGACGCGAGGGAGAAGCCCACTGCAGTGTCACTCCAGCCCCCGAAGGC